CGGTATGAAAGTAGTCTTGTATTTTTGGAGTTCTCCCATCGTTTAATTCCTCTCTATCATACTCCTGTTCTTCAAGCAGAATTTCTTGACTGGAATTAGTTCCAGATATTCTTATTTTTTCTGTAGCTTTAGGAATGACACTGCGCGGCCTCCCACGCCCCTTCTTTTGCATATCTGTGTGGCCGCCACGTTGAGGAGATCTAGGCAAAGGTCCTGGGTTAGGTTCTATACCAGAAATAAGCAATAGGTATAATATTACTAGCAGAGAAAGACATTTGTTATACTTCCACTTAAATTGAGGTAGCATTTTCCTCCAAGAGCGAATCATTATCACACAATGTTGTATCAACTCTTCTCTTGAGATTATCACGCCAACACCTTCGACAGTCGAGACACTCCCCATATAATTTGAAATATAATAATAATAGAAAAATTGTACACCAATTTTAATTATCATCAAAATTAAAGTAGCAAGAAATGTATATTTGTTTTTTATTTGATTAATTCAACAATTATTAATTATTATTGTTGTTGTTATTATTACCACTTACATGTTACACTTTTTGGCCTTATTAATAATGTATTACGTAAAGAAAATGTTTTGAAGGTACTTTTAATAATTAAAGACAAATTCAGTAGTGTATCAATTAAAAAATGAAATAAAGTCTATCTTGAATAATTTAAAAATATATCTAATTAAACTACATGTGACAAACTGTCAGTTAACACTCATCAAATCTATGTAACAATTGCTTGAACAAAACTATAATACATAAAATACTTGTTTTCATTTAAATAAACATTGCTATAAAATAGTAATAATAAAATAAATAGTAAACTAATATAAATGTTGAAGTTAATGTAATTAATTTATTTCCAAATACATATATTAAAGTTACTCTCTAAAATACAAAATATATTTTAAGTATTATAGTCTGAAAATAATTTGAATTTAATGAATTTATTATTATTTTATCTTACAGGTTTTTCTTATTATATCACATCATCCATTGGTACAACAGTTAGCATTTATCATTCTGAATAGAACCATGACAGTTTTTTCAAGTCAAAAACATGAACTTTCTTCATTAAAGGTAAAAGTTTATCATTAAAAAGAATTTTAAATATTTCATTTTTGTAATAAATAAATGAAAATATAAAGTAATGATTTTGTATATGCCCTATTTAATTTGAATGATAAACATTATTTTAGTAAATAAATTTAAATAATAAATATTAATCTTTATAGTATATGTAAACAAAGGAAAATTTTGTCTTTACTTATATAAATAATACATAGGCTGTTTTTTTCTTCGAGCTCTGATGGTCCATAAAAAAAAAACAAGTGTAAATAACAAAATGAATTTATTACCAAAAGTTAGGTACAGACATGGTTACTTTACAACATAATCACTGTGAAGATTGAGGTATTTGTCATATCTGTGGATGAGCTTTTTCATCCTTGTCGTAGAATGTTGCCACTAATGATTTGAGATGGGTCCTAATGTTTTGAGGATCATCATTAATCTTGAACCTCTGCCTTCCTAGCCACTTTTTCTGTTTAGGAAAAAAGTGGAAGTCACTCGGCACTAAATTGAGGCTATACACTGGGTGTTTAAAGGTGGTGAAGACTTCCACCTAGCTTAAAACTTTTTAATGTGTGAAGACTTCCACCTGTTTCCTGAACTGAAAATGTGGCTAGCAGGGCAGAGGTTTGAGACTAATGACAATCTTCAAAACAACGTTGTTAAGGCCATCTCAATTCACTGGCAGCAACATTCTATGACAAGGGGATGGAAAAGCTTGTCCACAGATATGACAAATTCTTCAGTCTTCACGGTGATCATGTTGAAAAGTAACCATGTCTGTACCTAACTTTTGGTAATAAATTCATTTTGTTATTTACACTTGTCTTTTTTTTTTTTTTTTTATGGACCATTGGAGCTTGAAAAAAATTCAACCTCACACATTTGTTATTTATATTGAATAATTATGTACAATTATGATAGCATTTATGAAATATATGATAGCATTTATGTATATGATAGCATTTATAGAAAATACTGCAAAAAGAGAGAAAAGTTTAGTATTAATTTTATTGTGGGAATTACAAAAATAGAATTTTCTAAATTATTCTGATCTGTACAATATTCCATAAATTTTTACATATATATTGTTAGGACTGAAGAGGCAGCTTTTATTGGGTTAATTTAATATTTGAGTTTAAAAGTGTTTGGAGTTTAGGACACAAGACAGAAGCATGAGAGAGGAAGATTCAAATCAAAAAGTCGGTAAAACAAATGTTTTTTCTTGGAATGTCAGAAAAATAGAACATTTTTTGAGAAGATTTGTAGTGAAGACAAAGTTCTGTTGTCAGGTTTTGTGAAAGTATTGTTCTTTGTCAAGGTTCTTTGAATTTGTAAAGGCCTCGTATGGTGAACATATACACCAAGAAGTGTTGGACTTTAGATTGGGTTATATTACTGTAGTTTGATGTCAGAAATTTAACAGTGGATTTGTATGTGTAGTTTGAAATTATAATATGTTCTCTGTTTATATGCTAATTATTATGGAACCTGTGTGAAACATAAATGTTTGTTTTGTGTTTTCATCACATCTGTCAGGTTATATTTTGGAAATATCTTAACTCCATACTCTATCCTTCCTCTAATAATACTCCATTATTTAATAATCTATAAATCACTATATATTAAGTGAAAATTACATGTCAGTAAATAAATCTTAATCAAACAGTCATTTAAACAAGTGCATTTAAAAATAAGTTGTATTTTGAAGAGAATATGAAATATTTTATTAATAATCTATGAATAAAATACATTGAAAAATTATCTATAAAATAGTATATAATTTCTAATTTTTTTTTTCTTGTTGTATATACTCAACATTCATTACCAACCGTTGGCATTTATAATCACTTTAAATTTCAAAAAACTATTTTTTTCCTCTCTCTCTTTTTCAATGTTTTTTTTTTCTGTGTGAGTATTTTAAATCGAAATTGAGTAGAGAAAATCACAGAAAATTTATTTCTTGTCATTGATTCTTATGTTTTGTAGAAATTCATTGTAGATTTAATTGTTTCACTTGTTTGAAATGCAATAAATTATAAAAATGCCATCTAGCAGTTTAAAAAATAGATATTTTTCAGGTTTTAATTAAATTTGAAATAATAATAATAATAATAATAATAATAAAATGTGTTATTTTTCTGCATTAAATACAATCATTTATTATAAGAATTATTTACACAAAAATTTGGTTAGTGATAAGCAATTTGTTTTAATAAAATTGAATCAGAAAAACTTAAATTATATTTATATAAATATGAAAAAACTATTACATGTAATAGTTTTTTCATATTTATATTTACTATTTACAATGTAACTTTGACAAAGTAATAAAAATTACTAAAACATTATATATTCATTGTATAATATGTTCTTAGGATAAACAAACAAATTCCCAAAAACATATTATACATGATGGATGTAGTTGCAGATTTATGAAATTCAAATAATTCATTCATTAAAATGAGTTATCAATGTTTATTTTTTACATTTACAATGTGATTTACAGTGTAAAAAAAATTATATGCGTACCAGAAAGTAATTGGCATAAAAAGTCTTTGGATTAACCTTAAAATCAACCTTGTGGTATTTTTAAAACAAAACACCTTTTTTCCTTAGCAAATTATTCTTTAATAAACAAAAGCTAATGCTTTTGGCCATTTCCAATGACTGTCCTCAGGCTATTTTATAAAAATTGAATATTTTTAAATTATAACAGAATATGAAAGATTGAATATAAATGTAAATATTAATTTGATATATACAGTATAAAGTTAAAATGAATTTTTTATTTAAAATTAGGTTAAAACTAATTCAGAACCAGAATTTAGTGCTCCTGAAGAAACATTAGAAAAATCTTTGGAAACTAAAATATATTCTAGTCATTCATTATCAGCAATAGCATCAAATGAAAATGCATCAGTTCAAGAAGTTACTAAAAGCAATAGTAGTACAGAAGTAAGGAAATCTGATATTTCAGCAGTTGAATCAAGTGAAGCTTCTGATCATAGAACACCTGATGAAGCTGCTGAACAAGGTATTTATAATTTAATCTGAATTAAAAGTAATCCAAAATTAGGCAAAAAGTAACTTCTAATAACCATTATAGCAGTTGTTGATTATCCATCTGATGGCACAAATATTACAGATGAAGAAAAAGTAGAAGCAGCTCAAAGAATAACACAATCTCAGTTTGAATATATACAGCAAAATTTTTCTTTAAATGAGAGGTAAGTGTTTTATATTTAATAATTTTTGTTTAATATTTTTCTTAAGTGTAAAATAAAAAATTTTATAACTGATTGATATTAAAATTAATTTTCAGACCATTCTTAGAAGCAATATTTAATGCTCTTGAATGTCCTGAAAACGATCATGCAGCATTATTTGGATTATGTTTATTTTATGCTTTAGGTCATAATTCAGGTAAGAAGTTTATGTCAAATCTTATAAAATTGTGATTTTATTCAGAAATTTAATGAACTTCTTAAGATTTAAATTATTATTTAGATAAAATTTAGTTAAACATAATCTTTTGGGTGAATATGTAATGTTTGAAATGTTAGTTTTAATGACAGTATTAGTATTATTTGTGCATAATTTTTATAACTACTCAATTTGATTTTTTCAATAACAACAATTATTTTTTTTAACTTATCTTTCTTTATGGAATACAAAGTTGGTAAGTATACTGTTTTCAATTAGTATAAGAATTTAAAATACAGTAGATCCCCCTATAAAAGCGTTTCCTATAGTTATGATTCCTATAAAAATTGTGGCATTATCCGTAAACAACGGTAAAAATAACTCCTATAATACGTAAAACGTCATCGGGCAGCCGAACTACTTACCCGCCGTCCGTAGCGCCACGCTACGGCGAGTTAGGCGACCTATCGTCTGTTTAGTACTGTAATTTTATACATTTCTTGTGAAAGAAACATTTCTTATTTAACGGCCATAAAAATTATTTATATTAATGATGTCTCCAAAGGTCAATGAAGTTTTCGCAGAAAAATAATATCAGAAATCGCGGCCGCAATTTGATGCGCTGTTCCGCGATGAAACCAAGCTTTAGCAACGAGCGTAGTCAAAGGGTACACACTCGGTAAGTAATCCTACAATTTTTTGTTTATAACGTAGTTTATACGGATTATTTTCAAAAAAATATACGTATTTTGGAAATGTTGAGTCGAATTAGTCTAGAATCGATTAATTTTATGAAAGAAAACCTTTCAAACAGCCGTAGTCCGTAAACTATGATTCCTACAAAATTGATTCATAAAGAACGGAACGTATCTACCGTCTTATGGGGGATCTACTGTATGTTGAGTAATATAGATTTTATGAAGTTTATATAAATAGAAATGTTTAAATAATTTTATAATAAGCTGTTTATAGTTTTAGTATTTTATTTTATTACATTAACATTTTTGTTCTATATTACTTTCAATGAAAATATTCAACTTTTTTATAGAGAATTTCTTAAATAACAATGTTAATATATTTGAAAAATATATACCTAATTTATTTATATATTTAATAAAAGTTTTAACATGTGAAATAGTACAGTTACAAGTTTATCACCAAAATATTTAATAACACTGTTTTCATACAAAGATATTAAATACATAAAGTATTCATTTCTGTTTGAGTTTGATTTCTAATAATTCATTAACTATGTAAAGAAGTCTGAACTAATTTGTGAATAAAAGTAATAGATGATAAAGGAAAATAATAATAATATACATTAAGAGAGTGTAAACAAAAATCTGCACACAAAAATCAAACATCATTAATTTAACATGATTATTCAAGAATACAAAGTTAACAAAAATATTTTCTTCTATATCTAAATTATGGAAATTGGTCTTCTGTTGGCATATTTTTTAATTTTAGTCTTGACACTAGCTGTAGGACTTCAAAAGTGCTCTGAATCAAATTAACAGTGTTTGGACCTGATGCACTGTTTTAGTTTTTGCATCATTTTTGGCAGATGCATTTTCTCATTTTTATACATCATCCATTTCAGCTGATACTAGAATTGTTCAAGTTGATGTATCTGAGGAATGTTTGCAATGCTATTGTTTGCTGACATAACAGTTGCCATATTCCTCTAGCACAAACTGTCTGTTATGTAATGCATATCTGCAAGGTCTGGCTAGAAGGCACACAGGCCATCTGAGTGGTGTTTGTTTCTTGAGTAATGGGATTAACCTCTTAATACACTCCTATGATTGTACTTTGTCTGTGCAGAGGCTAGAGGGTGCTATGAATGCTTGAGATCTTTATTTTGGTCTGATTTCTATTGAAATCAACACTTTCTGAGGAAATTTTACCCATGTATTAATCACAACCTCATCCTTACAACAGTGTGTATTGTTTCCCAGTGCTATCACATTCGTCAATGGTAAAATATGACTATCATTCACAACAATATCAAGCCTTTCAACAGCAGAATCCTTTGAAATTTGAGTTTGTTTGTTTTTTTTTTGTTGTTGTTGTTGTTGTTGACTTCTTTCACTTTCAAAGGACAACATTTTGATTTTTCTGGATTAGTATGTTTTTAACATAATGATGAGATATTTTGAATTTTTTTCCAAATATTCTTGGGTTTATCTAACTTTTTTTAACTCTCTTTCCAATGGCTCTTTGGCTTACTCCCTGGACATCTACCAATAGTCTTAGCACTTTCCAACTTTTTATGATACTCTAAACTGCCCATCTTGCTATCCCATATCCACAAAATGCTTAACTGTGAAGCATCTCCCTCCTTCTTTCTTAACATTGTTTGTAAAATTTGCCAACTATAATTCTTCTTTTTTCTTCATTAAGTTTTCCCATTTTTTTACATTTGGAATATTTAGTACATTACATTCCTGATTTTTTAAGTAAATAAAAAAATATATGTTGAAACTCTAGTAGTAAAAAAAGTTCAATATTATTGAACAGTATTGTTTAAATTTATTTTAATCTTATTTAATTCTTAATCAAATATAAGATTTTCAGTTGTTAATATTATTTTATTTCATGAAAAAATGTAGTAAAAATTTTTATACAGTATTCAAAGTTTGATACTTTATAAATTAAAAATGGAAAGTTTGATTTTTTTTCTGCTACAAACAGTTAATTATAATAAATAAGAGAAAAACAAACATCACACTTCTAAGCAGGGATGTAAACAATAGATGGCAATGTGATATCTAGTGAGCATTTTGTACTTTAGACTGCAATAAACTGTTTTCTAATATTCTCAAATATTATATTTCCACTCCTGCAGATAGCTTGGAACAAAGATGATTTGTTCTGTTGTTTTCAAAATCCATTATATCATATTTGTAAAATCAAAGGTCAACAGTAATCATGTTTTTAAACTGATTTGTTCTCTTGTTCTTCAGTTATTTTAGTAATTTGATTAATCTTTCTTTTCTAATTTAATCTGTAGTCAAATTTATGAATCCAAGTAATAATTGTCTTCATAATTGAGAAACTTATCTCCTGACTAATTTTAACAGATACAATTTTTTTCTTGTTTGTGTAATTCTCCATTCTTACTTTATGTATGTATGTATGTATAGGGATATATGGAGGGTCATGGGAGCTAAATTATCCTGAGTCAATAATTTGTCTGGAAGCAAAGATTGGAGAGAGGTCTGAATAGTGCAAATGGCAACATATCTGCATAATAAGATTGGCTTGGAGTGGGACTCATAATAGGTCACTATCTGTTCAGGTTTGAATCCCACTCAAAGCCAATTTTTTTCAGAATGTTCTAAATTTAATACAATGTGATGGCTTAATCAGCTACCTCTAGCCAAATTGCCAAATTATTTAATAATTAATTAGTGTTAAGTGGTCTGATAAAGAATCCAGCCATTCATTTAATACATATACATACATACTGTTAATGCTATTGAATCTTGATTCTTTTGATAGCCTTTTTTATTCTTGCATATCTGTGTAAGTCTGATAGTTCCATTTTATTAAATAATTATGAAACAATATGGTTTATTCTTGCTGATTTGTATAACAGTGAAGTTCTATTTTAAGAGTATTTCTTTGATATATAAATTTATAATAAACTTATAACCAATTATCCTTATTAATAGCAAATTAACAATAGATTTCTTTGAAAATGTTTTTGTTTTTCAAGTAAAATACTCTTTTAAAATCAAATTCAGTTATATGTGGTTATTAAAAGAAGTTTTGCATTCTACAAAGTAGAAAGAATGTAAAATTGCTGGGATTATGGAAAGTTTATCGAGATTTTTCTATCCATAAATTTGTCATTAAGTAATTAATGTAATATTAAATAATTGCTAATATAAATGTTCTATTCAATAATTTAATAATTTCTTTCTTTTGTTCTTTTGTTGATATAAAATAAATGATAGGAAATATGAAGAAATGTTAAATTATGGCAGTTTTTTTTATGTAGTAATAANAACTTATGAATTTTAACATTTTGATTGTAAAAAAATTTTTTTGCCTGTTTAGGAATAAATCAAGACCTGTTAGATCAAGTTCTTATGCCAACAGAAAAATCAGAAGTAAGATAGTATTTCAATTTTGTTTAAATCAATATCATACAACATTATAAAAGTTAGATACATTTAATATTTAATTTTTTAAACATATATATATACACACACAATGTTTTTTTCAAATAACTCAATCTTCATCATGTATATGCTTGATGTTATAATTTTCACATAAAATTTAATGCACCAATTCTGTTTATACAGTTGGATACATTTTAAAAAATTCAGCATAACTGTTTACAAAATCTTTTTTCGAAATAGTAATGAGAAAAAACGTGTGGAAAAATACTCTAAAAATTTTGCACGTTTACATGTAAAAGAAACACTGTGTAAAAAAAAATAATATGGAAAAATGGAAGGTCAGTTTCAGACCTTAAAAATCAGTAAAAATAATTTGATACATGATAATTTGATGATAATATGATGTCTTTAAACAAAATATTTTAATTTTAATTAAATTACAATTGTCCCGTATTGTTTCCCAGTGCTATCACATTCGTCAATGGTAAAATATGACTATCATTCACAACAATATCAAGCCTTTCAACAGCAGAATCCTTTGAAATTTGAGTTTGTTTGTTTTTTTGTTGTTGTTGTTGTTGTTGTTGACTTCTTTCACTTTCAAAGGACAACATTTTGATTTTTCTGGATTAGTATGTTTTTAACATAATGATGAGATATTTTGAATTTTTTTCCAAATATTCTTGGGTTTATCTAACTTTTTTTAACTCTCTTTCCAATGGCTCTTTGGCTTACTCCCTGGACATCTACCAATAGTCTTAGCACTTTCCAACTTTTTATGATACTCTAAACTGCCCATCTTGCTATCCCATATCCACAAAATGCTTAACTGTGAAGCATCTCCCTCCTTCTTTCTTAACATTGTTTGTAAAATTTGCCAACTATAATTCTTCTTTTTTCTTCATTAAGTTTTCCCATTTTTTTACATTTGGAATATTTAGTACATTACATTCCTGATTTTTTAAGTAAATAAAAAAATATATGTTGAAACTCTAGTAGTAAAAAAAGTTCAATATTATTGAACAGTATTGTTTAAATTTATTTTAATCTTATTTAATTCTTAATCAAATATAAGATTTTCAGTTGTTAATATTATTTTATTTCATGAAAAAATGTAATAAAAATTTTTATACAGTATTCAAAGTTTGATACTTTATAAATTAAAAATGGAAAGTTTGATTTTTTTTCTGCTACAAACAGTTAATTATAATAAATAAGAGAAAAACAAACATCACACTTCTAAGCAGGGATGTAAACAATAGATGGCAATGTGATATCTAGTGAGCATTTTGTACTTTAGACTGCAATAAACTGTTTTCTAATATTCTCAAATATTATATTTCCACTCCTGCAGATAGCTTGGAACAAAGATGATTTGTTCTGTTGTTTTCAAAATCCATTATATCATATTTGTAAAATCAAAGGTCAACAGTAATCATGTTTTTAAACTGATTTGTTCTCTTGTTCTTCAGTTATTTTAGTAATTTGATTAATCTTTCTTTTCTAATTTAATCTGTAGTCAAATTNGTAATAATAATAATAATAATAATAATAATAATTTTGAAGCTTTTGTTAGTAACTTATGAATTTTAACATTTTGATTGTAAAAAAATTTTTTTGCCTGTTTAGGAATAAATCAAGACCTGTTAGATCAAGTTCTTATGCCAACAGAAAAATCAGAAGTAAGATAGTATTTCAATTTTGTTTAAATCAATATCATACAACATTATAAAAGTTAGATACATTTAATATTTAATTTTTTAAACATATATATATACACACACAATGTTTTTTTCAAATAACTCAATCTTCATCATGTATATGCTTGATGTTATAATTTTCACATAAAATTTAATGCACCAATTCTGTTTATACAGTTGGATACATTTTAAAAAATTCAGCATAACTGTTTACAAAATCTTTTTTCGAAATAGTAATGAGAAAAAACGTGTGGAAAAATACTCTAAAAATTTTGCACGTTTACATGTAAAAGAAACACTGTGTAAAAAAAAATAATATGGAAAAATGGAAGGTCAGTTTCAGACCTTAAAAATCAGTAAAAATAATTTGATACATGATAATTTGATGATAATATGATGTCTTTAAACAAAATATTTTAATTTTAATTAAATTACAATTGTCCCTCTTTTCATTTATTATTGGCAAAATTTAATAAATTTATATTATTTGCATAAATTTTATTTTTATTTAACTTTTAATTAAACAACAAATGGTATACAAAAAGTATTGTGATTTGAAAGAAATCAAAAGTAATACAATAGTAAATTATTCAATGGGATCAGTTATTTATTTAAAATTAATAAAAAGTTACTATATTTTTAAAAATTAAAATATAGAATACAGTCACAAGTTAAAATACAAAATTGACACAGATTTCAAGGTAATGAATTATGACTTGAAACAGTTAAATCATAAAAAAATATGTTTGTTTTACTTTTTTCTTATCCATATGCGTTTTGCTGTCTTTCTTTGTCCTCATCAGTGGATAACAATACTTGTTTTACATTCGTGCTTTTATATCATACAAAGCTATCCTAACATGCATCTAATGACATTCTACTATTTAAGTTTATATTATTTACATAGTTACTGAATTGGAAAGAAGGCAAAATGCATATGGATAAGAAAAAGTAAAACATTTTTTTTATGGTTTATCATTTTTATGGTTTTTTTTATGTTTCAAATCATAATTTATTACCTCAAAATTGGTGTCAATTAAGTATTTTAACTCTGGACTGTATTCCATATTTTAATTTTTTTTTTTAATTTTTAGAAATATAGTAACTTTTTATTCATTTTAAAAGTAATACAGTTGTACAAATTGTCAAACTTCAAATTAAATTTTTTACGGCTATTTCAATCACAGGATAAAGTCCAAATGAAAGATTGATTGTTGCTGTGTATGTTCAAATAAGTTGTATAAAGAGCTAAATCTTAATCAATGGCCAGCTTGCTGAGATGGTAAAAACATTAGCCAACTGCTGTAGGGGACATAGGATTGTAACCAGATGATCAAAACTTTCAGGAGTTTTTTAGGGATATTCTATTCCAGACATGGCCTTGTCCCTCACAACCTAGCTGCCTCTATTGTAGACCTGGCAGAACTTACAATGGTATGATACATTGTAAATTCTGCCCGTTCAAACCTGTCCCATGGTATTCCAAAAATATCTCTGGTCGAAACGTAATGACCTTGACCAAGATATCTCATTTCTGCATTTGAACGTTTTTGACACTAGATGTCACTAGTCGTCATAATTTTTATATTAAAACTAACTTCCAAAATATAATTTTTTTTGTTTTTACATTTTTTAATATGTCTATTTTATTTGTGCAGAATAAAAATAATTTTGGACAATACAATAGCCATGATTATTTTTTTCTAAAACGTGTAATTTTTGTCAGGCTTAACATTGACAAAAATTCACCTGAAGTGACACACATTGGAGAAAAATTTCAACATGGGATAGGTTAAAGGGCATCTCAGTGCCAACAAGGTGGAAAGAGTCCAAAGAAACAGAGCCAAATTGTAAAAACAGACTTGTTTGTAATAATTTACTTGATTGATATATCAACATATCAAATGTTTAAACTTTCAATAATAATTTTAATTATTGAAATATTGTTTTATACTTTGAAAAAAATGTCTGTTTTTTAAATGGAAACATTGTTCCATAATTGTCTTTAATCTAAAACATAATATGAAAAAAAAAAAGGAAGCATTTAACTTTTTGCCACAGCCATCTTGCTTACGTTAATTTTGTAAACTGTCCAAAGGCAATATTGGTCAGTCAGTTAGTGATATTTTAAAAATTCACCAAAAATCAAATTATCATTATATTCATATGAAAAAAATTACGTACATTTATTAATCTTTCGTCTTAAATACAATATTTTTCAATACATTTTATTAGAAAAATTTATAAGAAAAAAAATTGCCAATAAAAAGAAAATAAAATGTCAGAACTGAAGGGCATAACTTGAGTATTTATAACATGTTGATTTATTATAGCTAAATAAACTTATTATAGCATAAATGAACTTATTATAGTGATATTATTTCATGAATCAATGCTAAAAATGAAATAAAAATTATCAGAAAAAAATGCATTAATTAAAATTTTTTAAGTCAACAAAACACTACCTGGAGAAAAATACATAAAACAGACGATAGACAAGATGGTGCCATCAAGTGCTGACATCTATTGTCAATAAATTTTATAAAAATCGATTTTTACTATGGTAATGATGAATTGTTACCCTCAAAGTTTTGTTTAACAAGGGGGTAACAATCGATTGATACTTTTGGAGGCAAAAGGTTAAGCAACTTTTAATAAAAAATACATTTAAGTAGAAAAATTACTCAAAGGCATTGTAAATTTAATTATAGCAATATAGATTGAATATAATCAAATACTTTAATATTTTGTAATACATGATATTACTGTTTAGAAGATGCATCTCATAAATATAAAGGCACAACTTGTTATGCAAATAAAAGCTAAACTAATAATCATACAACAAAACCAATTTAATTTTGTGGTAGTTACAAATTATAAACATACTAAAAAATCATGTAAATAAACAATATAATTACATGAGTTTTTAGTATGTTTATTTGTAATTTGTAACTACTGTACCTCAAAATTAAATTGGTTTTGTTGTATGATTATTAGTTTAGCTTTTATTTGCATAACAAGTTGTGCCTTTATATTTATGAGATGCATCTTATTGTTTTTCATTTTTTATGAAAACAAATGAAGAACTGTTACTCAAGTGATTTGTCAACAATTCGATTATTTAAACAAATACTTTAGTTTGAAAGCAAATGCATTGCAACATAAAAATCATTTTATCTTTGTTCATTTATTATATTTAGGCTGTAATAAAAGTAATTAATTTAATAGAAATATACCTTTTCAATAAAACTGTTAATATCAGCAATCATTCTAAAACTTAATCTACAAATAACAAATGAAATTGATAGATAAATATTGTAAATATGATAAATTTTATCTCTTATTTATTTGTATTAAGTTATAAGTTATCAATTAATAAATTCTTGTAACTATTAAAAACAAAATTCCTTTTCTTGTAACTTTTCTTATCTATTAAAAACATGTTCTTGTATGTTGATAAAAATTTCTTGGAATCTTTTTAGCTGATACTACAATATTTTATTGCTGTCAAATAAACATTTCAGTTTAAGTGATTATGATGCCTTAAGAATGATAAAGCTTAGCTTAAACAGAATTTTTTATGTTTTTATATTCAAAAATAAAAATAAAAAAATTTGTTTTGGACATTTGAAATTTTTTGATAGTTTGGATAAAGTCTTCATCTTGTGTAAATAACAGATTTTAAAATTATATTAAAAATTTTTGGTAGGGATGAACATTTTATATTAAATGAAATAATTATAATCTTAAATAACTTCATAAAATAGATTTTCAATTTATATTTTCTAGTTTACATGCTTTATTTGTATTATTTTAATAATTATGCTTTAAAATAATATAAAAAATATCTTTAAAATATGTGTTTCTATCACTATTTAATAAATATATTTCCTTTGCAGACAAAACAATGGTATAATATTAATCTGGTAGAACGTCTAATTAAAATTATAAATCTCAGTTGCCAATATAGTAAGTTTTATTTTAATTGATTTTAAATAAAATGGTCAAATGCGTGTTTCATTTTATATTCAGAGTATAATTAATAGTTTTTCATTTCGTTCTTATTTGTCATTTTTATATGTAGAAAACAAATATAAAAACATAACAAGTATTATATTTTCATGTCTCTGAACATATCTGCAGTAAGAGTTTGAACTTAATCATAATTTTATATATATATATTAGTGGGTGAACAATTCAACGCTTGGCGAATTCTGCTTCGCAATGAATTTGCCAAGCATTGGATTGTTCACCCACTAATTAGCCAAATTCCTCGTCATCTAATTAGTGATATATATACATATATATTTTACATAAAAAATCAGGACATATGTATTATTAAGACATCATTTAAAACATTTTTAATTTTAGAATTTTATTGATTTTATCTGTGATGAAATTTTTATTTTTTACATTTTGATAAATGTTAAAAGCTGTGTTGTTTAAATACAAACAGAATTTTAAAAACAAATCTTTATGAAATGGTAAATATATAAAGTATTTTGTTTATAACATCAGTTGAACAAAGTAATTAAAATCAAAATTTTTAAGTGGCAAAATAATCTTGATTTTGATAAATCAAATTCAAATCAGTTTAAAATTTTTTGGCTCTCTTAATGAAGATTTTGAAATGTTTTTGTTCTTTTTTAAGTAAATTTTTATGTATTAGTGTAAAATTTTTACTGATAGAAGTAATTCTATATTTATTTAAAATTTTTTATTTTAAAATAGAGAGTCGGATCAGATTAGCTACTCTTCAGATGAGCTTGTTGTTATTAAAGCAGTTGGTTATAAAAGATGGTCAAAGTTTCTTACAAGATCGACATCTTGCTGCTATTGAACAAGCAAGAGAAGAGAGTACATTACTGCTACGAAATTTTTATAAGGTACTTGTCAGAGTCAAAATAATTTATGAATAATTTAGAATTAAATATTATTTAGTACAAATATATATTTATAATTTATTTCAGAATAATTCTATGCACATTTATTTTTATTTTTTCAATTTCTGTGGCGAAAATTGAAAAATTGGCTTATGATGATTTTAATTAAATTTTATTTTATTTAAAATAAATGTTGATTTGAAATTTGTTAGTTGGTACCATAAATCTTTGCTTAATTGCCTATTTCTTCCTTAAACATTCATGGGTGATTAATTAACTGAAATATTTTTCTTTTAGTACTACAATACCATAAAGGCTAGTTTCCACTATAAAATTTTGTCCAACAATTATCAAATATTTTGTTACAAATTACAATATTTTATCTGTGATGAAATTTTTATTTTTTACATTTTGATAAATGTTAAAAGCTGTGTTGTTTAAATACAAACAGAATTTTAAAAACAAATCTTTATGAAATGGTAAATATATAAAGTATTTTGTTTATAACATCAGTTGAACAAAGTAATTAAAATCAAAATTTTTAAGTGGCAAAATAATCTTGATTTTGATAAATCAAATTCAAATCAGTTTAAAATTTTTTGGCTCTCTTAATGAAGATTTTGAAATGTTTTTGTTCTTTTTTAAGTAAATTTTTATGTATTAGTGTAAAATTTTTACTGATAGAAGTAATTCTATATTTATTTAAAATTTTTTATTTTAAAATAGAGAGTCGGATCAGATTAGCTACTCTTCAGATGAGCTTGTTGTTATTAAAGCAGTTGGTTATAAAAGATGGTCAAAGTTTCTTACAAGATCGACATCTTGCTGCTATTGAACAAGCAAGAGAAGAGAGTACATTACTGCTACGAAATTTTTATAAGGTACTTGTCAGAGTCAAAATAATTTATGAATAATTTAGAATTAAATATTATTTAGTACAAATATATATTTATAATTTATTTCAGAATAATTCTATGCACATTTATTTTTATTTTTTCAATTTCTGTGGCGAAAATTGAAAAATTGGCTTATGATGATTTTAATTAAATTTTATTTTATTTAAAATAAATGTTGATTTGAAATTTGTTAGTTGGTACCATAAATCTTTGCTTAATTGCCTATTTCTTCCTTAAACATTCATGGGTGATTAATTAACTGAAATATTTTTCTTTTAGTACTACAATACCATAAAGGCTAGTTTCCACTATAAAATTTTGTCCAACAATTATCAAATATTTTGTTACAAATTACAATATTTTATCTGTGATGAAATTTTTATTTTTTACATTTTGATAAATGTTAAAAGCTGTGTTGTTTAAATACAAACAGAATTTTAAAAACAAATCTTTATGAAATGGTAAATATATAAAGTATTTTGTTTATAACATCAGTTGAACAAAGTAATTAAAATCAAAATTTTTAAGTGGCAAAATAATCTTGATTTTGATAAATCAAATTCAAATCAGTTTAAAATTTTTTGGCTCTCTTAATGAAGATTTTGAAATGTTTTTGTTCTTTTTTAAGTAAATTTTTATGTATTAGTGTAAAATTTTTACTGATAGAAGTAATTCTATATTTATTTAAAATTTTTTATTTTAAAATAGAGAGTCGGATCAGATTAGCTACTCTTCAGATGAGCTTGTTGTTATTAAAGCAGTTGGTTATAAAAGATGGTCAAAGTTTCTTACAAGATCGACATCTTGCTGCTATTGAACAAGCAAGAGAAGAGAGTACATTACTGCTACGAAATTTTTATAAGGTACTTGTCAGAGTCAAAATAATTTATGAATAATTTAGAATTAAATATTATTTAGTACAAATATATATTTATAATTTATTTCAGAATAATTCTATGCACATTTATTTTTATTTTTTCAATTTCTGTGGCGAAAATTGAAAAATTGGCTTATGATGATTTTAATTAAATTTTATTTTATTTAAAATAAATGTTGATTTGAAATTTGTTAGTTGGTACCATAAATCTTTGCTTAATTGCCTATTTCTTCCTTAAACATTCATGGGTGATTAATTAACTGAAATATTTTTCTTTTAGTACTACAATACCATAAAGGCTAGTTTCCACTATAAAATTTTGTCCAACAATTATCAAATATTTTGTTACAAATTACAATATTTTATCTGTGATGAAATTTTTATTTTTTACATTTTGATAAATGTTAAAAGCTGTGTTGTTTAAATACAAACAGAATTTTAAAAACAAATCTTTATGAAATGGTAAATATATAAAGTATTTTGTTTATAACATCAGTTGAACAAAGTAATTAAAATCAAAATTTTTAAGTGGCAAAATAATCTTGATTTTGATAAATCAAATTCAAATCAGTTTAAAATTTTTTGGCTCTCTTAATGAAGATTTTGAAATGTTTTTGTTCTTTTTTAAGTAAATTTTTATGTATTAGTGTAAAATTTTTACTGATAGAAGTAATTCTATATTTATTTAAAATTTTTTATTTTAAAATAGAGAGTCGGATCAGATTAGCTACTCTTCAGATGAGCTTGTTGTTATTAAAGCAGTTGGTTATAAAAGATGGTCAAAGTTTCTTACAAGATCGACATCTTGCTGCTATTGAACAAGCAAGAGAAGAGAGTACATTACTGCTACGAAATTTTTATAAGGTACTTGTCAGAGTCAAAATAATTTATGAATAATTTAGAATTAAATATTATTTAGTACAAATATATATTTATAATTTATTTCAGAATAATTCTATGCACATTTATTTTTATTTTTTCAATTTCTGTGGCGAAAATTGAAAAATTGGCTTATGATGATTTTAATTAAATTTTATTTTATTTAAAATAAATGTTGATTTGAAATTTGTTAGTTGGTACCATAAATCTTTGCTTAATTGCCTATTTCTTCCTTAAACATTCATGGGTGATTAATTAACTGAAATATTTTTCTTTTAGTACTACAATACCATAAAGGCTAGTTTCCACTATAAAATTTTGTCCAACAATTATCAAATATTTTGTTACAAATTACAATATTTTATCTGTGATGAAATTTTTATTTTTTACATTTTGATAAATGTTAAAAGCTGTGTTGTTTAAATACAAACAGAATTTTAAAAACAAATCTTTATGAAATGGTAAATATATAAAGTATTTTGTTTATAACATCAGTTGAACAAAGTAATTAAAATCAAAATTTTTAAGTGGCAAAATAATCTTGATTTTGATAAATCAAATTCAAATCAGTTTAAAATTTTTTGGCTCTCTTAATGAAGATTTTGAAATGTTTTTGTTCTTTTTTAAGTAAATTTTTATGTATTAGTGTAAAATTTTTACTGATAGAAGTAATTCTATATTTATTTAAAATTTTTTATTTTAAAATAGAGAGTCGGATCAGATTAGCTACTCTTCAGATGAGCTTGTTGTTATTAAAGCAGTTGGTTATAAAAGATGGTCAAAGTTTCTTACAAGATCGACATCTTGCTGCTATTGAACAAGCAAGAGAAGAGAGTACATTACTGCTACGAAATTTTTATAAGGTACTTGTCAGAGTCAAAATAATTTATGAATAATTTAGAATTAAATATTATTTAGTACAAATATATATTTATAATTTATTTCAGAATAATTCTATGCACATTTATTTTTATTTTTTCAATTTCTGTGGCGAAAATTGAAAAATTGGCTTATGATGATTTTAATTAAATTTTATTTTATTTAAAATAAATGTTGATTTGAAATTTGTTAGTTGGTACCATAAATCTTTGCTTAATTGCCTATTTCTTCCTTAAACATTCATGGGTGATTAATTAACTGAAATATTTTTCTTTTAGTACTACAATACCATAAAGGCTAGTTTCCACTATAAAATTTTGTCCAACAATTATCAAATATTTTGTTACAAATTACAATATTTTATCTGTGATGAAATTTTTATTTTTTACATTTTGATAAATGTTAAAAGCTGTGTTGTTTAAATACAAACAGAATTTTAAAAACAAATCTTTATGAAATGGTAAATATATAAAGTATTTTGTTTATAACATCAGTTGAACAAAGTAATTAAAATCAAAATTTTTAAGTGGCAAAATAATCTTGATTTTGATAAATCAAATTCAAATCAGTTTAAAATTTTTTGGCTCTCTTAATGAAGATTTTGAAATGTTTTTGTTCTTTTTTAAGTAAATTTTTATGTATTAGTGTAAAATTTTTACTGATAGAAGTAATTCTATATTTATTTAAAATTTTTTATTTTAAAATAGAGAGTCGGATCAGATTAGCTACTCTTCAGATGAGCTTGTTGTTATTAAAGCAGTTGGTTATAAAAGATGGTCAAAGTTTCTTACAAGATCGACATCTTGCTGCTATTGAACAAGCAAGAGAAGAGAGTACATTACTGCTACGAAATTTTTATAAGGTACTTGTCAGAGTCAAAATAATTTATGAATAATTTAGAATTAAATATTATTTAGTACAAATATATATTTATAATTTATTTCAGAATAATTCTATGCACATTTATTTTTATTTTTTCAATTTCTGTGGCGAAAATTGAAAAATTGGCTTATGATGATTTTAATTAAATTTTATTTTATTTAAAATAAATGTTGATTTGAAATTTGTTAGTTGGTACCATAAATCTTTGCTTAATTGCCTATTTCTTCCTTAAACATTCATGGGTGATTAATTAACTGAAATATTTTTCTTTTAGTACTACAATACCATAAAGGCTAGTTTCCACTATAAAATTTTGTCCAACAATTATCAAATATTTTGTTACAAATTACAATATTTTATCTGTGATGAAATTTTTATTTTTTACATTTTGATAAATGTTAAAAGCTGTGTTGTTTAAATACAAACAGAATTTTAAAAACAAATCTTTATGAAATGGTAAATATATAAAGTATTTTGTTTATAACATCAGTTGAACAAAGTAATTAAAATCAAAATTTTTAAGTGGCAAAATAATCTTGATTTTGATAAATCAAATTCAAATCAGTTTAAAATTTTTTGGCTCTCTTAATGAAGATTTTGAAATGTTTTTGTTCTTTTTTAAGTAAATTTTTATGTATTAGTGTAAAATTTTTACTGATAGAAGTAATTCTATATTTATTTAAAATTTTTTATTTTAAAATAGAGAGTCGGATCAGATTAGCTACTCTTCAGATGAGCTTGTTGTTATTAAAGCAGTTGGTTATAAAAGATGGTCAAAGTTTCTTACAAGATCGACATCTTGCTGCTATTGAACAAGCAAGAGAAGAGAGTACATTACTGCTACGAAATTTTTATAAGGTACTTGTCAGAGTCAAAATAATTTATGAATAATTTAGAATTAAATATTATTTAGTACAAATATATATTTATAATTTATTTCAGAATAATTCTATGCACATTTATTTTTATTTTTTCAATTTCTGTGGCGAAAATTGAAAAATTGGCTTATGATGATTTTAATTAAATTTTATTTTATTTAAAATAAATGTTGATTTGAAATTTGTTAGTTGGTACCATAAATCTTTGCTTAATTGCCTATTTCTTCCTTAAACATTCATGGGTGATTAATTAACTGAAATATTTTTCTTTTAGTACTACAATACCATAAAGGCTAGTTTCCACTATAAAATTTTGTCCAACAATTATCAAATATTTTGTTACAAATTACAATATTTTATCTGTGATGAAATTTTTATTTTTTACATTTTGATAAATGTTAAAAGCTGTGTTGTTTAAATACAAACAGAATTTTAAAAACAAATCTTTATGAAATGGTAAATATATAAAGTATTTTGTTTATAACATCAGTTGAACAAAGTAATTAAAATCAAAATTTTTAAGTGGCAAAATAATCTTGATTTTGATAAATCAAATTCAAATCAGTTTAAAATTTTTTGGCTCTCTTAATGAAGATTTTGAAATGTTTTTGTTCTTTTTTAAGTAAATTTTTATGTATTAGTGTAAAATTTTTACTGATAGAAGTAATTCTATATTTATTTAAAATTTTTTATTTTAAAATAGAGAGTCGGATCAGATTAGCTACTCTTCAGATGAGCTTGTTGTTATTAAAGCAGTTGGTTATAAAAGATGGTCAAAGTTTCTTACAAGATCGACATCTTGCTGCTATTGAACAAGCAAGAGAAGAGAGTACATTACTGCTACGAAATTTTTATAAGGTACTTGTCAGAGTCAAAATAATTTATGAATAATTTAGAATTAAATATTATTTAGTACAAATATATATTTATAATTTATTTCAGAATAATTCTATGCACATTTATTTTTATTTTTTCAATTTCTGTGGCGAAAATTGAAAAATTGGCTTATGATGATTTTAATTAAATTTTATTTTATTTAAAATAAATGTTGATTTGAAATTTGTTAGTTGGTACCATAAATCTTTGCTTAATTGCCTATTTCTTCCTTAAACATTCATGGGTGATTAATTAACTGAAATATTTTTCTTTTAGTACTACAATACCATAAAGGCTAGTTTCCACTATAAAATTTTGTCCAACAATTATCAAATATTTTGTTACAAATTACAATATTTTATCTGTGATGAAATTTTTATTTTTTACATTTTGATAAATGTTAAAAGCTGTGTTGTTTAAATACAAACAGAATTTTAAAAACAAATCTTTATGAAATGGTAAATATATAAAGTATTTTGTTTATAACATCAGTTGAACAAAGTAATTAAAATCAAAATTTTTAAGTGGCAAAATAATCTTGATTTTGATAAATCAAATTCAAATCAGTTTAAAATTTTTTGGCTCTCTTAATGAAGATTTTGAAATGTTTTTGTTCTTTTTTAAGTAAATTTTTATGTATTAGTGTAAAATTTTTACTGATAGAAGTAATTCTATATTTATTTAAAATTTTTTATTTTAAAATAGAGAGTCGGATCAGATTAGCTACTCTTCAGATGAGCTTGTTGTTATTAAAGCAGNATTGTGGTCAAGCACTTTCTTTGCTAACTCTGTAACTGGCCTGCCGTTTTTGATGTCGTCTTGATGTTCAAGAATACGTGAACATAACCTTCTATTTGTGGCCCCCACATAACTGGTTTCTTCACCTGTCAATGTGTGTTTTAGCAGGATTTGGTAGATTCCTGATATTTCGTTCGACTGATATCTGTCCCGAACGACTTCCTATCGAACGACTTCCTTCCCAAAGGAAGTACGTACCTTATTACCTCAAACCGAACGAAAACTGCTGGCTAAATTAACATTTTTAAATAAATGTGAATTTGATTAATAAAATACAATTGTTAAAAATTTTTTATTTTTAAAAAGTTAATATCATTGAATTTTGAAAATATTCATTTTCAATAAGTATAGGAAGAATTTCTATAAACTTATTTTTCATGTTCCAGTCTAACAGTTAATGGTATTACTTAAGATCTCTTCAGCATGAATTTTAATATTATTGTAGTATTCTGCAAATAAAATAGCATTAATTTATGAGTGGTATTGACTTTTCAGCAGTTATGTAATAATTTTTTTTTTTTTTACTGATTCAACAAGATTATTGCTTTTTATAATATTTTGAAAAATAAAAATTCAAGTTTAAGTAAATCAAATAGCAGATCTATTTTATACATATGTAAAAGCAGATAAAATATTTAATATTTTTATTTTACTTTTTTATGTATGATTAAGAAGAATAAAATGTAAAAATCTTCTTACATTAGATTAGAAAAAATCATCCAAGCCATATTTTTGAACATTGATTAAGAATAATTTTGACAAATAAATAGAATAATCAATATTTAAACTATTTGTGTTGTATATTGATATATATAAAGGATTAGAATATATTATTTTTAACATTTCAGTGCAGGATGAACTATAATCATTTTTGATTTTGCCTGCTATGTGGTCTCATTACTCTTTCAGTTAATATTAATTTTATCTTATTTTTTACAATAATGTGTTTTATTGCATTCGAAGTTAAATGAAAACAGTAGTTGTAAGGCGAGACTGAGCGATAAAATACTCTAAAATTATGTATAAGAATATGAAATTATTATCCAAATTCATTTTCCACTTTCAGCCTACTTATCCACCAATGACATTTATTTATCAATAAACTGGTGATCAGCTGAGGAAACTGTAAGGAATTTTATCAATCATTCTCATGATGATATTTTATCACAAGATCTACTCTTAATCATTTTGATGTATAAATTTAATGCTTTATATGGCTTTTTTCATTCCACATTCTTTAATATTTTCCTGCTTACTTTAATGATACTTTTATTTAGGATGCAATGTATGTAATTATTTAGATACTTTCTGGATATTTTGCACACTAACCTTTAAGAACATTAAGAGAAAGACTAAGAAAAAATATCTCTTGTTAACAGATGCATTGACTTTTCATGAAAAATATAGATGAATCCATTTTTGTCCCTAGTAAGCAATTAATAAATTTGTCTTTAGCATAGAGTTGCTTTTTTTCCCTAAGGTAATAACTTACTGGAAATGTTAACAGCTAACTCCATTTCTTGTTTTATTTTTGTTTATTCATTAAGTTATTCATAATTTTGAAGAATTTGTAGTATTGAATATCTACATTTTATATATACAATATCAGATATGACACATTTTATTTTCCACCATATTTTTCAAAATTATTATGAACACACACTAATGTGCTGAAGTAATAAAGAAAGATGCATTAGGAATAAAGTAGACTTTTACTATATTTCTTGTTGCATCCATCAATTCATTCTCTAGTGACTTATATGAATCTTTGAATTCTAAACTCATGAAACTAGCCATATTTATAAAAGCGCAGGCTGTTGTGAGTAAATAATCCTTGTTGGCCACTCCAACTTATCAGTTAGCTAATCTGCAAACAATGGGTTGTCCATCATAATTAAGGAAATGGGAGATGAATTCACAATCAAAATTATCCTCAAAAAATCAAGAGTGTCCCATATTGGATTCAAAACTGGATCCCTAGAAGTGATAGAAGAATCCCTCACTATGGTGTTTCTAGGAGACTTAAAGAGTATTAACTTTTTCTTTATATGTAAAAGTTGAATAATGCTAAATTATATAAATAACTTAATTATACATAATTTGTTCTAAATTAATTGAACTATTATTAATTTCTTGAGTTTATAAGGACAATAAAAATTTTAAATAGATTGTGAGATTATTGAATATATTTTCTTTTGTATTATGCAAACTGAATTAAAATTGTTTTCACAACACTTGGAGCTCACTTTCCAGACAACAGTGACCTTATTGCCTGTGCTGTCATAATGAAAGACGGACAGAAGATAAGACGCTTCATGGTAATCGATGTTCTTCAGCTAATCTTAGTCGAACCCGATGGTAAACGATTGGGATGGGGAGTTGCAAAATTTGTAGGATTTCTTCAGGTATCAATCCTTTTTATTTACTGTTTATTTAAATAAATTTTCTGAAATTTAGGACTTAATATTTAATCTATTTCTATTCTGTTTAGATTTTATTTTAATTATGTGGAAAAATATTTTGTTGTAAAAGTTGAATATGAAATAAATTAAACAGTGATTTAATCTTAATAATAAATGTATGAAATTTCAAGTAAATAAATCTATGGAATATCACATTAATAAAATCAGTCTTAAACTCTCTCACAGGGGTATAATGCAACATAAATATGTTGGCATGATGCAAATTATGTCACTGTGATAATTTACACAATTTTACTTTAGAAGTGATAAGAGCCATCTTGTACTAAATTTAACGATTGATTAATTTAGAAAAATCCAGAAGAAAAGATATGGAATATAGTATTTAACTACTGCTATTGTAAGCTAGGCAGGCAATATTATCAATTATGCTATCTATTGATTGGTTTCTTAGTGTGTTTTCCAGATTTTCAACACACAACTCATTTGATTTATTCTGCTTTTGTGTTTAGTTCTTCAAAAGTTTCTGTTTCTTAATGCATTCCATTATACAAGGGAGAAAATGTTACCATCAGTCTGCCAATGTTTTGATATGAAGTGTCAGAGTACTGTCTAAAAAATGGAATTATAAAATCTTTGAAAAATTTAAGGACACACACGCATGCGCGCGTGCATTCTACAACACAATAACATCAAAGATGAGCATATATTTTTTAACTATTATAACATTTGAGAATTATTTTGTTTATTTAATTGTCCACTAATAGAAGTTTTAGAGAATAGATAAGGTAGGAAATTTTTCTCTATTATTTGCAGAAGGTAGTATTTCATACTCCAGGTAAAATACATTAATAGTTTTGTTGCTAAGCCAGAACTTGATGTTTTGTTCACTAAATAGAAGTGTCTTCTAAACCCAGGTTTCATTGTAATGTAGATATAAAAACCAATCAATTGCTATTGAATATAAACACACATTTTATTCATTACAGTATAGTGCTAAATTTCAATAAAACTTACTTGTAACTTATATCTAATTTGATTATCAATTTGCTTTTTTTCAGTTTCAATTTGCTTACCATCTCTGTATACTAATTGCTGGATTTGTTAGAGCTATTAAACAAGTGAGACATGTTTTAAACAGAGACACTTGTAAATACTTTTATTTATATATAACTCTTTGTAAGTTGCATTGAATTATGAGGTATGATAGACTACCATATGGATCTCTAGAACCATGGTTCTCCTCAGTCCATGGTCCGCGGAACGCGGGTGTTCTGTGAAGCTACTTCAAGTGTTCTGCGACAAAATCAAATATCTAATTAAAAATTGTTGCAAAAGAAAAACCAATACAATGTAAAATAATTTTTGTATGGGAATGTAATCAGCAAATGCCAATGATGTCATATACTAGATCGAGTGCACTCTTGATTTCAAAAAGGTTTGCCACCTCTGCTTTAAAGCTGATATATTGTAAGTGTTCTGCAGAAAAAAATGACAAAGTTTAGTGTTCCCCAACTTCAAAAAGATTGAGAACCATGGCTCTAGAAAACATTTGGAAGTGATACAAAATCATTTTGTGCATGTTGGGAACAGTGAATGTGAGGTCACACATACATGGCAGACAAACTACAAGGAGATATTAACATCTGATCATGAGACAGTTGCAATGTTGTCTTTGTCCATCTCATCCAGAGAGAGATGAAAGTCTTGCTACAGAATTCTATCTCTTCTAATACATTGGCAAGTTACTTAAACAGATAAATTTTCAGGCATAGCAGCCACTATATGTATTTCCATTAACATTCCAACATTGTCAGTTTCATTTGCAGTAGTACCATGACAGAGAAGTATGGATTGCTACAGACTGGCAGTGTCATCTTTAATAGTGAATTCCACTCCACATTCAGACAACCATTGTGTTCAAGGGTGGAGGACCACTGATGAGTGCTTCAATTCTTTCTTTACTGTTGAGCAGTACACGGTTCCCACTGCTTGGCATACTGGTCTGGGACAGCATAGGATATATTCAGAAAATCCTGCACCCTTGTTTGTTGCCTTTTGTAGCAGGGCTACAAACAGCATTTTGCTGCAAGATAGTGGTTGGCTGCACACAGTTGTGATTTCCCAGGAGTGTCTATTATGCTGCCACGCTTTCTTGGCTTGCTTAGTCTCCAGATTTGTTATCTGTTGAACATTTGTGGAACCAGATGGGATGCCAGTTTAAGTCATTTATGAATGTGAGGAATGCAGAGTGGAATTTGCAACGTGGGTAAATCTGTCACATACTAATGGCATCTGTATATCTCTGCACCTAACTGTATTTTCACAGATATCCAAACGAGGAGATCCAAGAAGATACTAAAGCTTTCTTTAAGTTGTATTGTTGCATTGAAAATTGCTACAGTATTGTAATCACTTATTATCAGCATTATTACATTTGCATAAATAAAATTCATTCAATTCTAGTGACACTTGGTGCATAACTTCTTTGTCAATGGGAGTTAATATTATAATGTCCTTAAGTTAATATATTTGTATTGTCTTTTATGTCATGAGACTAAGCCTTTGCTTATTTTTAATTGAAATTGTTCACTGACTAACAGCTGGTGGATATTTCCAGTGGAAAATAAATAAGACTTTTTTTTTTAAATCAGACAGACACAAATGAAATATTTTTAGTATGTCATAAGACAAACAAAATAGATGTTCTCATCAAGGTCAAATTTTGTCACTTCTTTCAGTTTCTTTTATTTCATGTAAAAATGCTTTGTTATTGCCAAATTATGTAAATGTGAGTAGAATATGTTTTGGTGACATATTATTTTGGCATCAAAATAATGCTTATCATTCTCCATATTTTTCATAGAAAGTTTCCTTTATTTTTAATATATTGATTTTTATCATTGTTGTTTTTATGTTTCTTAGAAAATACATTTGTACTAGAAGAAAATTGTCTTATTTGTTGTAGGTTTTTTTTTTTTTTTTGCAAATATTCAAGCAAACTTAATTCATACAAGTTTATATTAATTTTTAATAACAGATATACTTAATATAATATTTTTATGCAATATTTTAAATTTACTTTTTATTCACAATCTTCTTGAAACTTGCATAAAATAAAATTATTATGTGTTTTTAATCTATTATTATTCTGTATACCCTTTAAAAAATTTTTTTGACTTAATAGAAAATGAGATTATTTTATTGATGTTTATTGATTAACATTCAAAATCAGAATACAGGTTATTTCAGTGAGAATACTTTAAAAAAAAAATTACAAAAAAATAAATGTTTGCCTCTTATTTCCTGCTGTAAGAACCTTTAAGATGACCTTTTTAATCTTGCCTGAATTTGATCTTGGATCTCCCAAACCAATGTCTTTCATTTGATAAAACTAATACTGATATTCAGAAATGTTGACTTTAAGTTGTTTCAATTTATTTATTATAACATTTTTTAACACAGGATATTGAAGTGACGGGAGATAAAGATGACAGCCGATGTCTTCACATTACCGTTCATCGGCCAGCGAGTGCTGCTGCTGGAAACAATCGTTCTCCTCTACTCACAGCCAAATTTCTTTTTGATGATCATATCAGATGTATGGCAGCTAAACAAAGACTAACCAAAGGCAGATTAAAAGCCAGACAGAAGAAAATGTATCAAATAGCTAGACTGTTGGATCTTCCTGAACATATTCAACCTTGTCCATCACCTCTGAAATGTGGATTTCATTCTTCACGTGATCATAGAGATCATTCCTCTGGTAAATCTCATTTATTTATTTCATTTTATAATAAATTAGCTCATGAAAACTAATATAAAAATGAATTTATTTAAAATTGTAGCTTTACATCGCAGTCAGTCTCAAGATACGGGACTTCGAGGTAGAACTCTTTGTCCAAGTGGTAGTCAGGGACCCTATAGACCATTGTTTACATCAATAAATAAAGTACCTGGTTTTGCCAAATTAAAGCGAGAATCTCAAAGTTCCGAAACAACAACAGTGGAAAGACGCAGAACAAATAGCAGTCCATTAGCATCTAGTAGAAATTCTCATTCTCGAGATTCTTCGCCTCGTCAACGTGCTAATAGTAGTTCCGAGGAAATTCCTTTAGAAGATTTATCAAAAAATTGGTCATCCAGACATAACAGTCCTAATTTATCAAGGAAAAGTAGTTCAGGTTTACCACAGGTAAGAGATAATCGTTGAAGATTGAAGAATTTTATAAATTTAATTTAAATATATGATCATTGTCTTACAATAATAAAATTGCTTAAATCTCCCTCCTTCATATAAAATTTCTGAATTAAAATTTAAAAGAAGTAATGTTTTTCTGCAGTATTCCTGATCTATTCCAGTTTAAAGAAATTTTGATATATTATAAAAAATGAATTTTATTGATAGAACTTGTTTTTTGATAGAAATATATTTCATTTCTTCACAATAAGACAGCAAATTAAATATTGTAAGTATCACAAAGTTCAAAATAACATCATAAAGATGGTTTCCATCATATTTAAAAAATATCTAGAACGGGTTGCAAGCTGGCGCGACCTCAATGATTTCCTTTCTAAAAATCAATGTTTCTAACATCTTGCGGGGATTAAAACAGAAAAAATTTAAACACCTAACTGTTTAAACTAACTGTACACCTAACTGTAAAGTCGTAAAGACCTGGCAACAACAGGACCTTGGTTAGAGCCTTTTTTAAAATTACATGTTTTGATTTACTGAATAATACTGAATATGGTTCATATCTGATATACATATATTTCACTAGCTCTTTGCTGCATTTGAGTTTGAGACCTCCAATCTAGAATATTAGAAACAATTTGAAATGTCTTTTTTAGATATTACATTTTCAGATCACTTAATTGTAAGATTAATAATGATTTAAAATAATAAATACAAATACAGTTCACGGGAAAATAAAAGTAAAAAGCAAGTTGGTGACTGGTTCTTGATAGACTGAATAGACTTTATAACAGTTGTATGAAAATTGTTAATAGATCTAGTTTAATACATCATTTATTTTATTAGTTTATAATTTTTATTACTTTGCATTTATTATATGTATTAAAATTATTTTAAACAGTTTCTATCTGTTTTAAAATATTCTTATTCTATTTGTTTAAAATTGATATTCCATATATTATTCTTTAATATAAGAGCTTATTAGAGCTGACGATGATTCATATGGAGTCCAAAAACATTTCTCAAATAAAAATTGTAGTTTCCTTAATTAGCAGTTGTATGAATTTCATTAAATATGGTGCCAAGTTTCATAGAGCATTATGTGATAAAAGTATAATAGTAAAATACTTGAAATTCTCTTTTTTTGTTTGTTTGTTGTAACATATATACAGTAGTGTATATATTTATATATAGTTATAATAGTGTAATATTTTTTATCACAATAAAATATATGCAACTCACAAAACTTTTTATTTGTAACATTAAAATTCCAACATATTTGTGACTTATAATGACCTAATACATCCTAAAATTTTAATTTTAATAAAAACAATCGGTTATGAAATATATATTTAAAAAATGCAGATACAGTAGAGCATCGATTATCCGAATACCGATCAACCAAAACATCAGTTAACTGAAAGCATTCCAGTCGGCGAATTCAAATTTCCACTGGGGCTGTGGCATTGCAGCACTCTTCCCCTCCCTGCCAAACTGAACTGTAGGCTAATTTAATATATTACATTATATAAGGTATGTATTTGTATTATATACAGTACAGTTTTGTGTTTAATATATTTTTTTGTAAGTGATCAGTTATCTGAACAACCTAAGTCCCAAATTGTTTTGGATAATCGATGCTCTACTGTAATTCAATGGAAGCAGATAGCAACAAAATTGAATTTTTTCAGTTTTTTTTTATACTCGACTTAATTTTATAATTTTAATATAACAATTTTTTTTAAATTTATATTAAACTTTTTAAAATCAAAACTCAACTGGATATGTAAATCACCTTATGATATTGGAAGTCTTTCATAAATAAAAATCTTTACTACGAAAGAGTATAAGAAACTGACAAAAATTGAGAATTGTTAATATTTCTCTTTTATTTTCAGAATTTATTCATATCCAGAAAAGATATTTAAAAATTTTTTGAAGTACTCTAGATATCTCCCAAACCAAGTATTTATCACTGCTATAATAATTGCAAGAGGTAAATATGATGGAGACGAACGTACTATGTTATTTTGAACAAACAAAATACATTTCTATCAATAAAATGAATTTTTTTTTTTTTTATTTAGGAAAAAATTATTTTAAATACCAAATTATTATATATCATATAATTTTGTATTTAATGTAGGGAATTTATGGCATGATTTTTACACACACACACACTTCATACTTATTCTGAAACTATATTTGTGTTTCTAAAAATATATGATTCAGTAATTGGGTCATGTGTTGTTCAAATTTAATATTTCCCGGATATTTCTTTCCTGTGTCTATTGTTTGATTACATAATGGAAAACTGATGATTTGTTTCCACATTATCATTGTATCTAGTTAGTTTTCTGTTAATGAGTATCAAAACTTATTCTGGTTAGTCATTAAGAAATTGTGTCATATGTTTATATAATAACATATGCATAATCTAAATAGAACAAAATATTTTTATTTATAAAAAAGTAAGCCTTATTAATATGATATAATGTACATTAAAAATATATATAGATATAAATGAAATTTAAGAGAATTATNGTATAAAATATATAAAATACACCCAAAATGTATTTTGGACTCTAAAATAGGCCCTCTTCAGTTGATGTTTCAATTAAACTCACAAGATAAAAAATACATAAAAGTTATATTAAAAGGCCAAAATAATGAAAAGACATCACAATTAAGAAACAGGAGTTATCTGACAAGTGCGGTACAATAACTTCCATCTTTTTCATGTTTTCCATAACCAAGCCAGCCATAGAGAGTTAATTGATACTTCTGAAGGATTGACTGAAACATTACACCAAAAAAAAAGAAAAATAATGCGCTTTTACAATCAAATTCCATAGGGGAAAAACAGTATTAAATATATATACAGCATTAAAATTGTGACCCATAGAGACATTTCTTCATAGAAATGTAACTTTTTTATTATTCATAATTTATCTATGTTGTTGCTTTTCTTAAGTATCTGTTCATTTGTTTTAATTAATTGTTGGTTTAAACATTTAATAGTTTGCATGTAAATAGCAATATTCATAAATATTTTGTCACATAAACATCATAAAAATTTCTGAATTATATTACAAGTTATTAAGCTATATACAACAAAATATATTCGAGTAAATAAAAAGTTTATTTGCTAGAAACACAAGAAATATGATGAGATTGTGAGCTTACATTCTTGTTTTGTCCTGATATTCATCACAAGAAACACTCAAATCTTGAAAATATATTTACAATAGATTCAAAGGATAGCATTTGAAACTCCAAATAAATAAATTTACAGACAACTCTCAGCTTAAAATGCCAATATTTGATTTTTTCATAGCTTATACAAATAGAACTAAAATATCTTTGTGAGACTCAAGTCAAATGCTTCCTACTGTCTTAAAATATCTTCTCAGATAACTATTTGTTTACAATAATTCTTTTTGTTACACAAAGACTCAATGGACTGCCACTTATTTAAAAAAAATTGTAAATAGATCTTTCAGGCACAATAATTTAGGATATTTTTGCACAGGCTATTATTTTAATGTTAATGTTCAATAGCATTTTTCTTTATGAATTTTCCATTATGAAAATTCGCCACATTTTAAATTTTTATAGCACTTAATTTAAATACTGTAATAATAAATGAGCTAACACTATCCTTGGAAATAATTGATGTGCTTACAGTGTTACTAAACTCTTTGAAGTAAACTTTTCATTCGCTTATGCAATATTTCAAGATCAAGTGATGAGTATTGAAGTTAAGTCATAGTAGATACATTACAAAATAAATGTTATTACTCTTGTGAGCTACTAAAATAGCAAAGTTAGGCTATCAATTTAATAAGTTCCATCTGTAAATCTTCGACGTACTTGTCTTGTATTAAATAATTAATAACGTTAGAAGTTATTTAGAATAGCAGGTGAAAGATTCAACAATGAACAATATAGTGAAAAAGCAAAAACAAAATTGCAAACTTAGCTTTCAATTTTTCCATATTTTTTTAAATTAATTAATATTTTTGATAGACAAAAATACAACTTATAATAAGAGTTGAGAAACTCTTACGTAAAACCAGATCTCCTTAGCTGAAGCATGGATTATGCAAGTTTCCATAATGTCTTATGAATAAATTAAGTTTTGAAAGAGCTTATTTGACTAATTTTATTTTGTTTCATTTGTTCCTTTTTCCAATATAAAGATTACAATAATTTACTCAATTGGTGAGGGGGCAGGTTTTATGTGGGACGCACTGTATATGCTATATTTTTAATTATAAATGCATAAAGTCCAATAATAAAAGCTTGCTATTATGGAAAGTCTATAGAAAAATTTGATTTATTAGTAATTATTAATAATTTCTAAGTATTCAGAAATTGGATTCATTTGGAATCCAGTTTTAAGATGAAAGAAATTGTAGGTATTTAAATTACAAAATCAATAATAGCCATTCAAAATTTCTATCTTATTTTTGATAATATTTTCTAAAACAACTTTATTTTTTATCACATTTACTCGACAGCAGCTGCAGACAAAATTTATTTACCACTCTTACATTAGCATAGATACCAGAATCATTTTCTTGCTATTTTGAGACTGAAGTGTTGGCCACATGGTAGTAGTTTCATATTATAATTAGGCTAATGTTTTCTTAAATACAATAAGATATTTGAATTGAAATGCAGTACATTTCAGTGATAAGTTTTATTTTGTTTGATCTGCTTTGTTTCCTCTTTTCTGATAAAAATGTATTTTTAGTAACGTCATATGATGTGTCTTATACATACAACTTTTTTGTTTGATCTGATGAAAAATATAGTTGACAATTTAGAAAACTTTATCAAGTAATTGATTTATATAAGTATAAATTTATCCTATTTTTATAAAATCTAAAGTTGATTTTTCCTCAATAGATTTGAATTTTATTGCTTATTGTTTATTATTTAGACATTGAAAAAATATTATAATGCCTGAAAATATACAAAAATGAATTATATAAATAGTTCGGGAAATTTTTGCCATTGTATTATGCAGTGAGATGTGTGTGTGTGTGCATATACATACATAACACACATGCATACACAATGAAATATACTGCAATAAAAGTTATGCTAACATATCAGCTAAGAGTGATTTCAAATACAAAACAGGATGATTATTTTAGCAAGGATGATTTTATTTTGTTTTAATCTGTTTTCTTTTATCTTTTCTCCAAAATATATGGTTTAGTAATGGTATGATGTACTATAAACAAAGAAATAAATACTAAATAAGAAATAAGAATCATATTTTGAATATTTTAGCTTGTTTTATTAAAAATTAAGGCACTGAGATATAACACGCCCCCGTGTACCTCTTTCTAATAGGATATACAATGTGCTTGCTGCCAAGTTAAATAAATCAAAATGAGTTTCATTTTATCTCTTCTGGGAATCTTTATTCATATTCAAAAATATATTTATATAATAAATTTATATACTGTTTGCTTATTTGTATAATATCTTGTCAAGTGTAAAACTACAGATCAAATGCAGATCAAATGCTTACATTAATAGAATAAAAGAATGCTCACTTCTTGCCTTAATAAAATTATACAAAAAGTATTTGAAGAAATCAAAAATGTTTAGTACATTACATTAACTATTATCTCTGATAATTAGTAACTTAGTTAAATATACATATGAAATATATAACATCCATAGAATAAATTGTATTTGTTAATATCTAACAGTAATTAATCATTTTTGATATATTTGTAACTGACAATAAATTGAGTAATACAGCACGATTCAAAAAGTAACCCACAAATTGATGATTTCTTATCGAAGATTGTTCGCTATCAGATATGATCTAAATTCTTATTGATTGAGAATGCAAACATTGACAGTTTTATATCTTAAATATCTACTTCTCAAATTGTCTTCTTTAAAGCGCACTTTGACTGTTATGTATTTTCACAAGACATTTTAAGTTCTTATGTAATCTTCTAAAATACTTTACAGTTTTATTTACTTAAATGAAGATAAAGCACTTTGTTAGAATAATATAATTTATATCAAACAGAAAAATTACTTTTATTAGAAAATGTAGTAAAGCTAAATTTACTTACTGTGTGCTACTTATTTAATAATTCTAACTATAAGAAAAGTTCTGTAACAAGCTAATTATAACAGTAATTATTTTGTTATTTTATTCTGTTCTTTTGTAGATGGAATTTTACTACATTTTTTTAAATTAGAAATTTTCTAGTATTCTGGATACTTAGAAAATCAAAGGGGGGGGAATATTAATAATTTAAATCAGGAAATAATGACAATATTGAAATCAGTTTTATCTTAACAATTCTGTTTTGAAATTGTCAGTTCGGCATCGGCTTCATTCTAATACAACAAATAATTAAAGCAGATAAATTTAATTTTAATTACACTTAGTTATTAAAATGTTTGAAAACTTTATTAAAATTTGAATAAAAATTAATGACTTCTGTATTTTAATTTGTTTTATTTCAGTTTATAAAGTCTGATATAATCTCTTCATTAAAATAAAGCATATCTAATTGTATTTAATTTATTTGAAATTACTAAAAAATGGAATTATTTTATAGGCTAGGATTAATGTGCCAACAGATACTTCTCATCATTCTCCGGGAAATCCAGTTATTGTTAACTCAAAAGATGGTTTAGCCATTAGTGCCTTGGATGATTCGAGTCATTTTTCCGACAAGTGTACATATCCCGTAACCAGAAGTACCGGTCAGACACAGACTTCGAGACTGCCCCCAGGGTCCGCCGGAATCGTGCTCGGAACTTCGATCCCGCTGCCTCCGGCGGAGACCGAACTCTCCCTGGACGAAAATCTGGAAAGTCCTCCGAGCGTGTGTACGAAACCCTGTTGTGCCACCGAATCGTCGTCGAACGAGGAGAGAGAACACGCGGCCAACGATTCTGAGGAGAATGACGTTTTCTGTTCGACGGTGGAAGAGACGGCGGCGGAAGCGGGCTCTTCGTTCGAAGCACAAAGACGGGTGGCCAACCTCAGAACGCAAGAGATTTCGAATCAAAAAACTAGCGGTTCACCTACAAAAACTAAGAAATCTTCTTCAAAGACCAAACATAAAGGTGCCATACAAACTGTATAATAATTTAAAATCTCCTTAAAATTATATTAGTTAAAAAAAAAGTTAATTACTCTTTTAATTTGTTAATTTCTCTATTTTTATATTTAATTTATAAAATGTTCTCATTGCATTATTTGTGTTAATTAAAAAGATTTCATATCTAAAAAATAATATAAAATTATAAAATAATGGAAAATACAAATATTTTTTTTAGATAAGAAATACCATAAAAAAACAAATGTACAAAATGTTTGAAGTGAAACTTGTACTTTTTCTCTGTCATTCCAATAATTTGGAGAAATTGCAAGTGAAATTATCCCCAGTAAAGTTTATATCATTATTGCTTTTAGTAATATTGATTCTACATTCAAAAAGTAAAGTGAGATTTTAAGGAATTTTGCACTTTGTATGTAAGTATAGATTTAAAAAAAAAATTAATAATAAATTTATTATAGTTTGATTATAAAGAATATAGATAAATGTGTTTCCCATTTTGAAAAACATTCTTGCTTCAAAAACCCAAGTTATTGATGAATAATATTTAAGATTTTAAATTTATAAACGCACAAAATTTTGTTTCACTCCAATTAAATCTCTGTCTCTAAATTCTATATTTAAATGTTTTGTCGAATAATCCGAGAAATGTTAGTTATGTTTTGGACGTCGTATCCTTTCAAGCATTCGGATGATGCGACTTTGCACTACATCAGCATAATGTGTTGCCGTAGTAATTTTCTTATTCTTCAGTTATTTCCGCATAAGTTACGATCTAATGATATTTCCGCATCCCCGTATCTAGCAATCTGATATTTCTATTTGCATTTACCAAATTTTATTAGATCGGCCTCCTCGTTTTCTCTTATCTTTGTGCACAGCATTCCTTTCATCGCTGTTTCATTTTCCTTTTTGTTTACAAATGTCACTGATCTGCTTTATATGTATTCAGCAATCCTCTCTGCGTACTTTTTCCATCATCATCATAGAATAATCCTTCTATTTATTATTTTTTCCTGTTTATCCCTTAGAACTATTTTATATGGTTATTAACATAAACATAAAACTGATTTGTGTATCAGTTTGATGCGGAGAGGATGTTCAAGTCATTGAAAACAATATGAAAATTTTTATGACAACTTGAAAATACAAAAATAAAAATATAGGGGGAGAAAAAATAAACACTTTCCTCATTATTATGATAAAATTACATTTTAAATTTATCAATAAGCCAACTCTTCATATAATTATTCAAGTTTCTCAAAGAAGAAACTTCAAGTTGTTAGGTGCATCATTAAAAATAGGAATACTTTTTATTAATATCGCATTATATAAATCTTTAGCTGATAACACAAGTTCATCCAGTTAACGAGAAGTTATTTATCGCTAATTTAAATAGAAAGTTTCCAAATTTAGCATAGTTATTTAATTAAAAAGATGCTATCCAAGTCGGTGATATCTTCGTCAAAATTGAAGAAAGATTCATTCATCATCATCCAACATTGACTCGTTACAGGAACAAACGAGAAATTTTTATCAAAGATGTTCATCTGGAGTCATAATTTTCTCTCTAAATTAAATTAAATTAAATAAACTTAATTTATTTCCTTATCGATGGAAACAATCTCCAGCATTTCCATATAAAAAGCAAAAAAAGAAGAAAAACATTAGCTTAGAATCATTCTGGAAATCAATGGCTATTATTTCTTTTAATGATATATTAATACGTCAGCTCCATTCATTAACGAAATGCTGTATGATGCAGAAACAAAATGTTTTGATAAGGATGTTAATGACCGTATTTCGACGTGGGTGTACCTTAATTACTACTACTAATTGGTCGACACACGATCCTTTACCATTCTTAGAATTATTTTTTAAGATTTTTATCTACTCGAAGGCCAGAGAATAATACAGACGTCGGCATTTTTGAGAAACACTCCAAGAATAAATTCGAGAAAATTTAAGTTGGCCTCTAACTCCTATTCCCCCTTATTATAACGAGCGAAATTAAGTATTTACCACCAGAATCCATCAAAATTTAACGTAAACAAACGTCTGGGATGGGCACATTTCTATGTAAATTATAAGCGCAGTTTGTACAAACAGACACGCACGTTACATAACACTATGTATTGATACTACTGAGCATATATTTATTGCTCGGCCCATTTCCTATATAATCAATATGCCGTTTTTAGTTAATAAACAAGGTAGAAATTGTCATACGAGGAATTCCCAGAAACGGACGGGGGGCACTCGATATCAAAATATTATTATGTAATGGTGTTGCGAGAAATCAATTAAAAAATCGAACATACCAAAACATGTTTACAAAAACTTTCTAAGAAATTCTCTTATGGTTAGAGCGAAACGGTCAAGCTTAAATTAGATTAAAGATGCCAAGAGAAAATACACACGACGAAGGAAAAATGGCTTTTCTTCGAACTCCATTCTAATTTTTTTTTTTTTTTACTTTTTCGACTGTTATATATAACAGAGGGAAAGTATGCTCATGGGTCAAAAAATGATCCCACATTTTGGGTCTCGGTGGACCTTGAAATGTCGAGAAATGCAGAAAAATTTGGGGTTTTTTTCCCCCTGTATCTATGGGTGTTTGTGTGGGGCACGATTTTGTTTGCTCACTATAAAGCTTAATAACTCTTGTTCTTTTTGTCGAATATTGCTGAAATTTTGCAAGGAGATTTGTTTATTATGGGGATCGATGCTATTAAATTTTGGTGGTTAAAGGTGGAGGGAGTGGGGAAGATAATGGGAGTCGCGTATATCTCCAGTAATAACGATTTTACTCGTTATCGGCATTTACAATTTTTATAAAACCCATCCTTACCCTCAAAATTGAGCTTTTTGCCGTTTTATAATATAAAAATATAAGAAGTTTTTAAAAAAAACTACTTTTTACCAATGAAAATACAGAATATCTTTTAAAAAACAAAGAAACTACACTTTCAATTCTGTGTTAATTCGAAAGGAATTTTTTTTAACTCCGTGTTCTCTTTCGAACGTGGAATGTACTCTTGCAGGTTCAACTTCGACCACTTCTAAGAAATTTTAAGGAAACATTTCATTCTGTTCCTTATAATTGGGTCAGTCAGTCGACGGAGGACGTCCTAGAAACCATTTGATCTGCTTCATCGAAAAACATTCGAGTTTTGACGTTTTCCTAAAACTAGATTATTCCAAGATAAATATCCTTTTGTTCCGCCGGATAAATATTTATTCGGATAAATTAAATGAGAGGAAATACTCCGTCTTCTGCCTCTCAATTTGCACGTGTTAGAAAAGTGTCGCTTCTTCGAATTCTCGATGTTTTATGAGAATATTTTCGGAATCGGCGAGTGTCGTTTCTAAATTGACGTCAGCCAATTCAAAAGATTCGCCTTTAACGACATTATCTTTTAAAAGAACACTTACTACGCTTTCGAGAACCGTCTTGGAAGCTTAACCTTTGTTTTTTTACGTTTATATTACGTAGAATAAAATACTTTCGTGTCCTTTTAAATCGGTTCTTACGTCTTTTGCTTTTATAGACGTATCGTTATACCGAAGAATGCCTCCTCTTTCTTAAACGTAGTGTTATATCTACTGTTTTAGACGTTTTATCGGGCGGAAGAAATCCCCCCCTTACTGTTAAACGTATTGTTATAAATCGAAAGAAACTTACCCTTTGATTTTTTTAAACTCTCACACTACTACGTTTACGTTTCCGGAAAAACTAGAAATTATCCAGAAACGGTACGTTCGAATTTAGTGTCAAGTTTTATTTATTTAAATAGGAAAAGAAATTCTCATTATTGTTTGCTAGAAAAGGAGTTACAGGATGTAAATAACTGTGTTTTTTTTATTTTATTTTTATTTCTTTTTTTTTTTTAAGTCAACCTATTTAGACGATTCTCGGTACAAATAGCACTCGACACTAACAAAATGTACCCACTTGAAGGATAAATATAACTCGGATAACTTAAACATAGACGCACGAACCAGGAACGTCTCTGTTCGTGGTCCAAACATAGATTTTGACAAAATACTTCGGTCCGTGATTCGAATCGTTCGAGGGACGTGGACACTTTCCAAAACAACACCAGGAAAAAAAAATGCCGGTGTGTGATGTCACGCAATCAACTCCTTGACGCGCGCCATCTTCTAAGAAAACCCCCCTTTTGTCTCGTTTAAAAAAAAACACGCGCAACACAATACACACACAACACAACACACAGGAAAGTTATTTTTCCTTTAAAATTTAAATAATTAATCACCTTCTTGAAATATTTATCGACTTTTGTCACTTTTATTTTTAAATGGCCGCCGAGTAACTAGATTTTTTTTTATTGTTATTATTAGTAAATACGCGAAATTCGTAATTGATCGGCGGGGGGTGGAAAAAACGAAAGGAAGTGACGTAAGTGGTGCGATGGGCGTTGTAAAACGATTTGTCACAAGCAGATAAGGGATTGTTTCACGGAAACTTTTTACATTTATAACTCGATGGGAAATTCTTTGACATCTTACAGGGTGGAGCCCAAAAAAATCTTAAATATCTCCCATTAAATCTATTAAAATATCGATGATAACGATTCGGTTTCTTAAAATATTCAAACTGAATAATTTTAGTAATGAAAGTCGCCATTTATAGCTTCTAATGACTAAGTTCTAAGCGGATCCTGGTTACGTCACTAAAAGCAGCTGATTACTTAAGTTTCGACGTCACGTTTGCATCGGGTAATGACGTCACGGATTTAAGCATCTCCGGTAGAGGGGGCAAAAACGAAATTTAATTTATTCGGTGGTAAGACGTTTCCCGACGAATCAAAATGGCGAAAGGAAAATGAATCATTATAATTAAATAAATAATAATAAAAAGAATTTATTTAAATATTTTCCTCTTACGTTAATCATCGCGTAAATCTAATTTTGCCCATGACGTCATATCAGTTTGTTTCGGTTTCGATTTCCGTTTTTTTTTTTTTTTAAGTTTCATTTTTGAAGAAATTTTCCGGTGAATAAATTAAATTTTCTGATTTAATTTCGCGAATTGTTTGTTGGCTTGTTTTTTTATTATTATTTTATTCGATTGATGTCGGAACCAAATATATTTTTCTGAAAATTTCAATCATAAACATTTCCTGTGTTCGAATAAACAAAATAAAATTAGCTTGTGTGTCGGAAACAATTCTAGAAATGTAACGTGATTCACTAATTTTTATGAAATTTTTTAATAATATAAAAAAAACCATAATCTATTCTTCCTTTAAGCTCTATTAATATTACTTTTGGGCTATAATTAGGCTATACGTAATAACGTAATCGGTCGTTTGGGTTTTAATAAAGACCAAATTACATAATTCGATTAAATAAGTATTAGCCTAATTATAGCCCAAGAATTCGAATTTTCCTACATAAAATACACCTCATTGTTTATTAAGAAATTCGAAAAATTTTTGTAAACATTTAA